TAACTGATTACAGTTAAAAAAATGTTGTAATTAAGTTACATAACGCCGTTACATGTAACTAGTTACTCCCCAACACTGCATATTGGTACCCATATTGGTTTCGGTACCCAACCCTACTACTCACTGCGTGATGGTGCCTAGAGAACGTATTTAGAATGTCCCTAAAATTCAAGATATAGGGCAAAAATGCCCCTGTTTGAGTATTTACTAGGGGTGCTCCGATTTATCGGCTACCGATCACTATCAGCCGATAATCACGTTGGGATGTTTGATCGGCGGTCTCTAAAAGGCCGATCTCAAAAAAACGATCTCAAGCTGATGACGCTGCCATGAGAGTTTTGGCATGACGTGCAGCGTCACAGTCTCAGTCTCTGTCCGGCCCGGGTGAAATAATTATAATGCTGAAGTTATTTCTTCATTAAATAACTTATAAAGTAATTTGAAAATCTCCTTTGAGACTTAATTTCACAAACAGCGTGAGTGAGTCACCACTCGCGCGCGCGCTCTCTTTCTCGCTCAAAATACGCAATTGGCTTCAAATCACAACACTGTCTATCTATAAGCGTCACAGTCTCAGTCTCTGTCCGGCCCGGGTGAAATAATTATAATGCTGAAGTTATTTCTTCATTAAATAACTTATAAAGTAATTTGAAAATCTCGTTTGAGACTTAATTTCACAAACAGCGTGAGTGAGTCACCACTCGCGCCCATCAGCCTCAAAAATCCTGATCGGAGCACACCTAATATTTACATAATATAGTTAAAGGGGTCATATGATGCGATTTTCAAGTTTTCCTTTCTCTTACCCAAATATTCAGATGTGTGCAGTGCATTTTATGGAGGACTGTTTGGGTTTTAATGTTTTTGTCTCCTCGCTCCGGGACACGGCATCACAGATGGTAAGGGCTGTAACATTTCCGTCACACGCTTGAGGTATTCGGCCAATCACAACGCACTGGATAGCTGGCCAATCAGAGCACACCTCGCTTTTCAGAACGATGGGCTTTGTAAAAATCGACGCGTTTCAGAAAGGCGGGGCATAGAGGAGAAACAATAATGTACAGTATGTGGAAAATAATGTGTTTTTTGAACCTTAAACCGCATAAACACATTTCATTACACCAAATACACAAAATAATGTTCTTTTTAGCAACATCATTATGACCCCTTTAAGCAATATCACACGAGCAATAAGTGCAATATCACACGAGTGCAAATGTGATACTGATCTTATACAACAGTTCAAAAAAAGTTAATATTGTGTTATTTTAGACACAATGTTGTTTGTTTTGCTCAATTTTGCCAACGAAAATATAAACTACATACACACACACACGTAGAGAATAAAGAAGCAAATTACAAACCATAAGACAAATAAAATAGATACACATTAAATATTAAATAAACTTGTTTTTCTAGTACATTAGGCTTAACATGTATACTTTCTTTAACATCTTTTGTTGTTTGATTAACATTAAAGAGACAGACAGGTATTTAATTAGGCTGCTGTCCCTTTGAGACCGAATGAATTTAATATACATATATACATATCCGGTTTTCACCCACCTGTTTACGTTCACTTAAGCCATAACCGACTGTATTTACGTGAGATACTCCACACGATGGACATTTTGACAACTGTGTGTGTATTTTACATTATTGCGCAAGGAGAACTGATCGCAGAACTGGGATCACGTGGGTGCGTGGGTGAGAGAGCATTTCTGTTGTGTGTCATTCAGCGTGATTCCGCCTATCCTGTCTTCACTTACTGCATGTTAATCGATAACGAATTGTGATTGGATGGTAATTTTGTTCTACGACAAGCTTAGTTACAGTGGGGATAAATATTTATTTGATCCCCTGCTGATTTTGTAAGTTTGCCCACTTAAAATGATTAGGCTGTTCTCACGTGACAGAACGCTTCTACTACTCGCTCTAATCACCCAGTCGTAAAGAAATTTTGAAATATGGGACAAAACATGATTTTTTCAAAGTAAGTCGGGACACTAAAAATAGAGCTGAAATACGGGACTGTCCCGGGAAAAACGGGACGTCTGGTCACCCTATTTCTCTCACATGAAGGGTCTATAATTTTTATGGTAGGATTATTTTAACGTATAGAGACAAAACACATTATATAAAGGTTAGAAATTGATTTGCATTTCAGTGAGTGAAATAAGTATTTGATCCCCAAGCAAAACA